ACCACAGTAAGTCTTCTTTAAAGACAAACATAATTAAAAATATCTTCTGCCAAAGACACTATGTCACCTCCCTGAACAAGCTGCATGTACCTTAAGGAGAACACAGTAAACAAGCATCATTCCCACAAGTAATCTGTCTGTATACACATCTAACTTTACTTTTCAGGAAGATGCTTCAATAACTTCTAAAGCTAACAATATTTTATTTTATTTTGTCCTTTTTTTTTTCTTTTCTGTAGAGACAAGGTCTAATTATATTGCCTAGGCTGGTCTTGAACTCCTGGGCTCAAGTAATCCTCCTGCCTCACCCTCTGAGTAGCTGGGACTACAGGCATGCCACCATGCCTGGCTAACTTTTTGATATTTTGTAGAGACGAGATCTCGCTATATTGCCCAGGCTGGTCTCAAATTCCTGGGCTCAAGTGATCCTCCTGCCTCAGCCTCCCAAAGTGCTAGGATTACAGGCATGAGCCGCCACATCTGGCCAACATTTCAGTTTCTTGGTCCAATACTTATTTCTGATCATTAATGTAAGACAACTTGGAGTCTGGTCAGTACTCCTAACTTACAGTATTTAACTGTTCCTGATTGACAAAAAATTAAAAACTAGAGGAAAAAATGCACAAACACGGCATTAAGAAAACCAGCATTAAGAAGTGGCAGATTAAATGAGGTAAACAGCCAAAGATATACAGTTTATTAAAGGAGAATTTTAGCTCCTTAGCTACTCATCACTGTCCCAAAGAAGTACTAACAAACTAGACAGTTTGCTCTAAAGACACTGAGACACTTGGTCCTAAGAGATGTTCTCTAAAAAGAGACACTTCTTTTTCTTCAGAATCACAATTCACGTTTGTATATGAAAACCTCTGAGAAGTCTTCCTGTAAATAAATCTGTTTCATTTTCTTTCACCAGCATTTTCTAAATTTATTTAATAAAAACCCGTTTTTGTATAATAATTAGCACTGCACAGAAATCACTTTGAAAACTACTGCTATTTTTGATGTGAGCATCTTTTATGTAGTAGCCATATCAACTAATCAGAAAAATTTTTTAAGTTTGAGAAATTTATATAAGACATGCTTGTACCATTGATAACAGAAGAAAAAGTCACACAACTGCAACAGTGAGTCTAAGACTCTTCGGGTGGAAGAATAAGATGAACTACTGACCACAGAACAAATGCTTAGAGGTCCCAATCCTTCCCACAAAACAATATGATGGGTTTATGCCACATCTTCTCACCCAATTCCTGTAGTGAAGGTGATCTTCAATTTCATGGGAAACCTTTCTAATCAGGAGAATGAACTGACAACCATATCATAGACAATCATGCTAATTAATGCTTTTATAATAAAAACTATTATAAACAGTATCTCAGACTTGAAATAGATTGTCAAAGAAACCTAGTGGATACCCACCTGACACCTGAGTTGTTATCCTTACAACATCCCCACTAAGCGGCATGCTGGCTCCTGCTTTAAAATCTCCGACTATCATGACACTCACAAACTCCCATTCCATCCTGCAACAACTGTCCTGCCTCAGGGCTATGATTTGAATCATTTTCTATCCAAATTCTTATGAAAATGAAAACTGGTACATAACAGGCCACCCTCCTCCAAAAAAAATTGTCGTTAAACTGAAAGATCACTTCTTTTTTGCCAATTAAAAAACATACGCATCTGGAATCTTCCTTGTTTCTATTTTAAAGATTCCATTAGATGATTGATATCAAATTCAGGATAGTAATTATCTTAAGGAAGAAGAAAAGGGCAATGTATTAAATTGAGGTACATAGAAAATTTAAATTAACACTGTTGCCAATATTTTATATTAATTTTGATAGTATAATACACGCATATTAGTTGAATTCTTCATAGCTTTTTGCATGTTCTAAATATTGTATATTACAATTTTTTTTAAAGATTAAATTGCAAAGCCCTTTTATATACACTCATTAAATAGGCTCAAGTCACAGCTCTTCAGTATATAATTTTCTTTATGGTATCCACTATGACCCACAAGGCCTAGAACAATATCCAGGATCCAGCTGAAATATAAACCAGCAAAAGTTTGTGTACAGTACTAAAAACAGAAGAAGGGGTTTCAATATAACTTCTACTAAAAAGTTAGTCCTCAAAGACAGAAAGAAACATATTGACTTATGCTGCCTAGTCCAAATGGCCAAAATAGCATTTCCATTCCATTAACTGACTTACAGGCCACCAGCCTAGATAAATACCTAACAAAGTCATCAAATAAGCATGGTATTCAATCAAGACTGGCTGTTTTGAGTCTCACCTGGATCATGGTAAAACCCACAAGTGTACACACATGGACATGGAGGATGCATAAGGGGCAATGATTCCTCCTCTTCCTGAAACAGCATTATTGTACCAAAGCATCACCCTCTTAATTCCAAGAAGAAAGGCTCAGGTGAGCAGCTACCATAATCTCTATTCCTTCTGGTTTAGTATAGGCAATGAGCATAGTAGTGCTCAAATATGTAGTGGCAAAGAATTTAGGGGAAGGTGAACAAGAAGAGTTAACTAGATACCAGCTCTAGTTAACTAGAACTGTGAATGAGGCACTTAGGAGTTCAGACTTTTTCTTTCTTTTTTTTTTTGAGTTGGAGTCTCAATGTCGCCCAGACTGGGGTGCAGTGGCACCTACACAGCCACCCCAATGTCAACCTGCTGGGCTCAGGTGATTCTTCCAAGCAGCAGGAACTACAGGAGTGCACTACCACGCCTGGTTAATTTTTTTGATTTATTGTAGAGACGAGGTCTCACCAAGTTGCCTGGGCCGGTCTCGAACTGGGGGGATCAGGCAATCCTCTCGCCTCAGCCTCCCAAAGTGCTGGGATTACAAACTGAGTCACCGAGCCCAGACTTTAGTGTAATCATTCATTTATACTACTCACGGTCTTGAAAGCAACTAGATTTGCATTTTTTAAAAGTGCTTAAAACTCTTAAAAGGCTGGCCAGGCTCGGTGGCTCAGTCTGTAATTCCAGCACTCGCAGCAACTCGAATAAGCCATGCTTTTCTTCCTCCGGACTTTCACCCTCGCTGTTGTCTGCCTGGGTAATTACTCGAACCCTTCCAAGGCCATGTCCTGAGGAAGGCGATCTCCACACTCCCTGGCACGCTCCTGCTGTTGACGCCCCGAAACCTTTCATCACCACTCATCTCACTTTATCGTAGCAACATGTTTAATGAACTGTTCATTTTCTCCACACAGCCGAAAGCCTGGTGAGGGCAAGGAGAGGGTCTTGTTTACCACAAGACACTCCGCTCTGACAGACATGCTGCAGACGGCTGGAGGAACGCATGGATCTGCGCTAGTGCGCTCCTCTATCTGTACATCTAAGAAACTTCCACTTTCTCGGCTTGGCAACACTCATCATCCTGTTTGCTACTCATTTAAGATTCGATATAATCCAGACTTAGCTCGCTCCTCAGTCTGAATTAATAAAATTGTATTATTTAGGCACATTTCGTTATGGTTAAATGATTTTCTAATTTAAATATCCTGTCTTGAAAGACAGTAAGAAATTTACAGAGCAAGCCGGGTGTGGTGACTCAAGCCTATAATCCCAGCACTTTGGGAGGCTGAGGAGAATGGACTGCCTACGCTTGCAGGTTTGAGACCCGCCCGGGCAACTTGGCGAGACCTCATCTCTACAATAAATCAAAAATTTGCTGGGCGTGGTACCGCACGACTGTAGTTCCAGCTACTGGAAGGCTGAGGTGGAAGGATTGCCGGAGCCCAGCAGGTCGAGGCTGGGATGGCCGAGAGTGTGCCACTGCACTCCAGTCTGGGCGTCAAAGTGAGACTCTGACTCAAAAAAAAAGAAAGAAAGAAATTTACAGAGAGCATACTCAGCACACATGGGAATTTCCACAAGGAAACTTATCCCATGTTTCTGTAAGCCTGATATCGTGATGTCTAATTCCCAGTAAGTGAGAGTTTCAGGAGGATTCATGATTGCATATCACAGTTCATTAATCCTAAAATACACATTTCTTCACATTTGACATCTCTGAAATCAGGATGCATCTTATCGCTGATGGTCTCAAACTTTACAATTGGCAGCATTTTTCCTTCGGTGGTATAAAAATGATGTTTCTTACAACTGATGGTGTCTTAGGCTAAACGAAATAGTTATTAAAATATTTAAAATTAGCAGGCTTGGTGGCTCAGCCTGTAATCCCTCACTTGGGGAGGCTGAGGTGAGTGGATTGCCTGAGTCCGCGGGTTCGAGACCTGCCTGGGCAACTTGGCGAGACCTCATCTCTACAATAAATTAAAAAATCAGCCGGGCGTGGTAGCGCGCGCCTGTAGTTCCAGCTACATGGATGGCTGAGGCGGAAGGATTGCCAGAGCCCAGCAGGTCGAGGCTGCAAGTGGCCACTGCACTCCAGTCTGGGCAACAGAGTGAGACTCCAATGCAAAAAATAATAATAATAATTATATATATATATATGTATTTAAAATTTTTCTGTAATCATACTTTCTAACTGATCTAAATCACGATACAATTATAATTCAAAGAATTCTAGAGTGAAAACTAAGTGAACTTAAGATTTACATTTTTCCCATTGTAGAAAACTTAGACAAATCTAACTTCAAGAAAACAGATAATGGGGGGAAACAAAGTTTTTAAAAAGTTCAGGAAAAAGTCTAGATTAGAAGCAGAAATAAGAGAAGTGATCAAAAAAAGACTTGAAGATGTTCACTCAGTTGTAGCCTCCAAGAAAGTAGAAGCATGAAACAGCTCTAGGGCTTTTTTTCGAAAAAGACACAAATATTAAGAACACAGCGACAGGTCCTGAGATAGCAAACTGTTAGGAAGAAAAATACTATTGCATTGTTTCTCTCTCCTTAAGGAAGAATCATTGTCATCCTTTAAACAAAACTATGGTATAGGTAGATGAAATAATGTTAATTAATATAAAACTGTAAACATTCTTAATAAATTAAAAGCCAACCTACCAGCACTGTCTTCCTTCTGGCTCAATCTGTTTCACCTTCAGGGAATCCTAGGACGGGGGCTCCCTTTAGATCCCCCATTTTTCATGCCAATCTTCTACCTCCCTGTGGCAACAATATTTTCTAATTAAAATAGTCCTTTTGTGCCACAGGGAGGATTTTTGATGATACAACAAGTACAAAAGTTATCACAGCTCATCGGAAAATCAAGTTAGTCCTGAGAGTCCCCAAGAAAGAAATTTAGCTCCTTATCTTATTTTTCAAGAAAGAAATCTGGCTTTGTTTTTTTAACTGCATTTTAAAAACCTAAACCTTCATTAATTAAAAAAAAAAGCACTGCTTTCTTGTTGACTTATATAAAAAATTCTTACCATTCATTTATCTTTCCAACTAATTGTTAAACACAATTTTTTTTAATCCAGAAGGTTTATTTAAGTTTTCCTGATAATTAGCTAATACGACTAACTTTTTATATTTTGATACTTAGTTTAGAAGCAAGTTTGATACCTAGTTTAGATCCCATGCCAGCAGGGATCAAAAGACGAAGGAAGCTACCAGACTGCTCAGCAACCAATGTTATTAGTAAAGACTTATCAGTCTGCTTGCATTATATAATATTAATTATGCTTCAAATTTATACTTATGAAAAAAGACTAAAAGGAAATGTAAAAAAACCAACAGCAGTCATTGTCTATCTGTTGGTAAGATTATGAGTGATGATTTTCAATTTGTTTATTCACTGCCATACTTCTCAATTTTTTCATTAGCCAGTATTGCTTTGGTTGTAAGAAAAAAGTCAAATTTAGGTATAAGTCAGAATGATGAAAACCAACTGCGATTTTAAGATGAAGTTAATCAAAGTATGACAACATTATGGCTTTGATATAATATTTTGGATGACCATATTTATTCATGTCTTTCTATCTACCTTTTTATATTTTAAATAACCTTAAGGTATCCAATATTTAGCATGTTAACAAAAAAGGAGACATCTAAGATTGTACATAGATGGGTCCTGGGATATGATGACAACATTAACTCAAAACCTAATTTGTTTCCATTTGTATCTCCCACCTCGCTCCATGATCAACATTATAATCAACAAAGGAAAAAAAGTGTGGCCTGAGTCTTCAAAATGCTTATATACTCACTGGGAAAACAACAGGTGTCTCTAAAGCTGAGGAAGAATATGAAATCTGATAAAGAGCTTCAGCAGAGTGATAATGGAGATGCCAGAGCACAATAAATTAAGGAAAGAATGACAAGGAAAAAGAATACAAGAAAATGTAGCACAAATAATAAACAAAAATAATATAGCCAAGTGCCTCGATCTAGATGGCATAACAGACGATCAAGAAAGAGAACTATTTGATGCAGGACACAACAGCTCTACAAAGTTTCATGTGGGTGAGCCTTAAAGAATGAATAATACCAGCACACGCTAGAGACAGAGGAAAGTGTCTTTGAGCAAAAGCTCAAAAGCATAAGCAGCACAGTCCACACAAAGGACAGTAAGGAAAACAGCTAGGAGGTCACACTGTTTCAGCAGATAAGAAGGTTAGATTATGAAGGATCTACTTCTGAGAATTCTACAGTCACTGAATTCAGCAGGGGAGTGGCCTTGAAATCTGATAATGCAGATGCCAGAGAACAGTAAGTTAAGGAGGACAGGATGAGGAAAAAGCACAAACTGAAGTCATGAAGAAAGTGAGAAAGGAAGGAAAAAAATACAACAGAGGCATAAAGAAAGTTAAGCAAACGTCTTGCTTCAGTGTACAGAAGCTGCATCCATATCTGAAGAGACAATGGAGGGCACTGATGAAGCTAAGGGGAACTACCCCACATCACAAGCACTTTTTTTTTTTTTGAGTTGGAGTCTCACTCTGTCACCCAGACTGGAGTGCAGTGGTCACTCCCGGTCACCGCAGCCTCGACCTGCTGGGTTCCGGCCATCCTTCCACCTCAGCCTTCCAAGTAGCTGGAACTACAGGCGCGCGCTACCACACCCGGCTCATTTTGATTTTATTGTAGAGATGAAGTCTCGCCAAGTTGCCCAGGCGGGTCTCGAACCTGCGGGCTCAGGCAATCCACTCACCTCAGCCTCCCAAAGGCACGGGATACAGGCTGAGCCACCGAGCCCAGCTCTCTCTGATCTTTCTTTGCTAGGCTTTGGCTGTACTAGACATCTGCCATTTGCTCCTCCAGATTTATTCTCCAACCTTCTCACCTGTTCTGTCCCTGGAGCCTGGCTGCATCAACAAAGCTCCCGTGGCTTCAGACTGGGTTAGGTCACAGAGTATCTTGGCAGGGGATTTGAGGGAACAGGCACTGCCCTCCAGTAGGCCGTGTCTATTGATGGAAGACTCCAGATTCTCCCCAGGGACACTCCCTTCAGGACTCTCTTGTGGATTCTCGCAGCCCTTGCCTCCCCGTGGCCCTTGAGCCAGAGGACAGAAACGGTTCTGCTGCTGCCAGCTCTGGGCACTGCCCAGTCTCTCTCCCTACTTGCTCATCTGTTTGTAACGAGCTGTTTATTAAAACCGTCCTTAAATTATCCTAATCTGAGCATGCCATCTCTTTTATGACGGGACCTTGACTGCACATATGCGCATCTTTCTTTTTTTCTTTCTTTCTTTCTTTCGCATTGGAGTCTCACTCCATCATCCAGGCTGGAGTGCAGTGGCATGCTCACGGCCACCCCAGCCTCGACCCGCTGGGCTCCAGTGATCCTTCCGCCTCAGCCTTCCAAGGAGCTGGAACTACAGGCGTGCCCTATCACACCCGGCTAATCTTTTGATTTTACTGTAGAGACGAGATCTCGCCCAGGTGCCCAGGCTGTTCTTAAACCCGTGGGCTCAGGCAATCCCCTCACCTTGGCCCCCCAAAGTTCTGGGATTACAGGCTTGGGCCACCGCGCCCAGCATCTGTGCATCTTTAAACAGCTAAACATTCTTCCTTAGATGTCTGGCTTTGACTATTACCAAACTTATCTCCTTCCTCAAATCCCTTTATGACATTGATCACTATCACTCAGGGTCAAAACATAGAGTAATATTTTACCTAACTACGCCTCTCCCCTTTATCTGTCATGCGAGGTCCTGTTTGTTCTTACAGAGTAATGTGGCTTCTATAAGGCCTGCTCCTGTTGCCACTGCTTTGTTTTAGTATTTCTCAAGTCATCCTTCAATTCATACTATAATAGCTAAACTCTCCTAAACAATTCTGCTAATTTCTCCTACAATTCATCTTATATTCAACTGGATTACTTCTACACTAATTTCTACTTAAAACCTTCCAAGTTTTTCTGCTTCCTCATATGTCTAATTACTAACTCTTGAGATTCAATTCACAATATAGTCATAACTCTTTTGCTTAGTTTGGTTTGAGTCGAAGTCTCACTCTGTTGTTGCCCAAGGTTAGAGTACAGTGGCACCAGCACATCTACCGCAGCCTCAATTTGCTGGGTTCAGGTGATCCTTCTGCCAGCCTTCCAAGTGGCTGGGGCTACAGGTGCAGGCCACCACACTCAGCTAATTTTTTTATTTATTGTAGCGACAAGGTCTCATCGAGTTGCCCAGGCTGGTCTCGAATCCCTGGGCTCAGGCAATCCTCTCACCTCCACCTCCCAAAATGCTGGGATTATAGACATGAGCATCTGGCCTAGTCATAACTCTTAATAAAACCTCCTGTGACTGTCTCATTTACTCAAGATCTTCTAAACAAGTCTTGAACTTCAGTATTCTATCTGTTTATTAGTTTATAGTGCCTACCTCCTATCTGTCCATCCAAATCTATCTGTCCTTTACTCTCTCTAAAACATTCCCTAACCCTGTAAACCAAACTTTCCACTTCTAAAAATTCCTTTGAATTCGTAAATAACACCCATTTGATCCTTTACTGCTTTGTATTTTGAATATAACACATATTTTATCTCCACAATTAAATTATTAACCCCCTTAAAGGAAAGAAACACATTGAAGACAGTGCCTTGCCAACAACAAATACAGACATGCTCTCATTAGCTAAGTGGAAAGCTACGAGGATAAATGGAGCAACAGATATTTGTTAAGATGAAAGATGAAGAAGCAAACCCTAGATAGCTCGGGCTTCTTTAAGCCTCTAAAATGTTATAGTATGTACATATATTATGTGTAGGTATCATGTATATATTTATATAGTTTTTTAAAAATGAACATAAAGCCCACATGCTCCGCTCTCTGCAGGGAATCCAGGAAGCTCTCCTCCCTCCTCCCCATGGCTGCCCATCCAGCAGCCCCAGACTGGGAAGGCTGGTTCGTGGCTGCCGGAGTCAGGCCATCCTCCATCCGAGCCTCATCACTATAC